TTGCTAGTCTGTGTGCCAATTAGTATTTCGTATTGATTGGAAGGGAAAGGGCTAGGGACTGACTTATGAAGAGCGTGGGTGTTTGTAGACCAGAGCATTTTAAACAGTACATTCAATTTGCAGGTCAGTAATTTGGTAGTTGGTTGTTTGTTTTTTTAAAAAAAATCCAGTTAGCATCTTAGCTATGGCTAAAATTGAATGTAAAAGACAGCCGGTTGTGACTGAAAATCTTGCACTGTGAAACCAACAGTTATTCCTGCGGTAACGTATGCGGCCTGCAGAGCAACAGAAGATGAACTGAAAGCAAGACATTGAAATCAAATTGCAGGCTCGTTTTTTTTTGACGGTGCCCTTCACAGTGCCGATGACCACCTGGAGTCCAGCATTATGTGAGGATTGGCATTTATAGCAACCAGAGCCCATCTCGGTCATGCAGGGAATCACTTTCCAAACACACTTTTCCTGCCAACGGGGTTTGTTTGCTTGGTGATAAGAAACAATGGTTGACTCCGTTCGTTACTTGAGCATTTTAGTGACTGAGAAGTGGAATCTGGCATCGTGTGCTAAATCCATTTTCTTAGCTAGCCAAATGCCAATTTGGCAGCCTATCCAGCAAGCTGATAGCACTGGGACGGGCGTGATCGTGGAGATTGTTTTCAGTAGTCTCTAGTAAGTCTGCTTGTAAGACTCCTCTTTCCGCTGGGGAAAAAACACAGTTACCACCTTCAGGGACTGGAGGGATTGGATGAGAGAGGAGAGAGGCATGGGCATTGTCTGCAGCTTAATATCATACTTTTCAATGTGCCTTAAAAACAGGAATGTGTTTAGCTTTGAGTAAGGCTGATATTTATTTGCTAGAGTGATGTTAGCCATAGTTGAGAAGAAGGGAAGGTGTGGCACAGAGGACCTAATTCCCCTTGTTTTGTTGCAAGAGGAACAACAGAAGATGCAACTTTTCCAATTACAGATGAGAGACCCAATCTTTTCTTCTGCTAAAGAAACTACAGTTATACCCCATTTTTTGCCATTTTCTGCCTCTGGGGTTGACATGTGCTCTAACTTAGGCTCCTTTCTCTGACGGGCTACCAGCCCAGTTGCCAGAAATGGCTAAAAAGCTGAAATACGTTGCCAAAACCCTTAGATCTGGGAAAAGCACCATGCGCTTGCACCAGGACCGTGCTGAGTTAGTGCACTGTCTTGGTGCCACCCCACGGGGCAGGAGAAGTCGGAACAAGGCTGTCCTCACGCGCGGTATCGTGACGCCCAGGTCTCCAGTTGTGCCCCCGTGGCATGCAGCTTCCTAAAGTCCCATGACTCGACCTTTGGATGAAACCCAGTGTTACTTGACAGAAGTGTGAGGAGGGTATCCACGGAGAGGCCAGCGTGCCCTAGGTTGCATATCCGTGTTCTCCTGATGTCACAAACAAGCTATTCTTGCACACTACAGAAAGCCTCACAACCACAAAACCAGCAATAATTTTATAAATGATAAGCTTGTTTTCCTCCTCCTCTTCCCAGATATTCCGAGCACGGCAGACAGCAGAGATGTGCATTGCTGGAATCCAGAGAGTTTCGTAACGTGGCAGCCGCTTGCTGAAAGCCCTGCAGATACAAAACAACACTTATTTTAAGTCTTGAGAAACTTCTCCTACTAAGTAGAAGAAAAAAGCATTTAGGTGAAGCAATGTTGCCAGTCCCATTTGTTTATGAGGCTTGGGTTTTGTCTTTATACATTTTAAATGCTTTTTATTTTCATTCTGCGTTTTGAGCCTTTCAAGTTCGTGTTTTCCATTTTTTTCCATTAAACAAAGTCTGGAATCAAGTCCTTGCTTTAAAAACAAAAATTCCGTTGAGAGTCCCATATAATCACGTCGCTCCAGACATGGGGTGTTTAAAAATAAAGCCACTTCCATGAGAATTACCCATCTTGAAGGTGATTTTCTGTTCTGAGTTTAAGTAAATACTTCGTTGACAGTTTAAGAAGCTTTTAACAACACCTGATCTGTATTTGCTTTCCAGGCAGATCTCTCTTTCTCCTTCTTTTCTAAAAATCTGGAGCTTGTTTCACCTCTATACATGCTGACAAGGTCAGAGATGTAGTGTACCAGCATGACTGTGACGTGTGTTGAATAATGCAGACCAATGCTTTCAACAGTACACGTGCAGATTTCACACAATTGTCCCCTTACACTGCTGAGTGGTACCATGGGATACAGAACCCATCTTCTTCAGAGACAGGAGGAGGAACCTGGTTTGGGTTCACTGGGTGGGGTAAGGTGGGGACCAGAAAGCCTCCTGTGACTCCCTGAGGGAATCACAAATGCC